TGCCACTCTTCCAAATAAATTCCATTTCAGCTTTTTGTCTTCTTTTGCATGTGTTGCATGATAATTTCCTTTCTCACATGGTATGGCTGAGCATCACAGGCAGCTGAATGTTGTCACCAAGCTATTTGGAAACCATAAAGAAGAGTTGTTGTGTTTTGAGAAAGAATAATCTGTCTTACTTGATAATTACTTTCTCTTCTTTTTTCCCATCTTTTTAGCTGCTTCCCTTGATAAAGCAAGTCCATTGGCCGAGGGATATTTACGGCATCGTTCTTTTCCATCGGGCGCCAATTCTACCGTCTCAGTTGTTAAGATGACACCTCTTTCTTTTCTGCCTGGTGCAAAAATAACTAAATATCTTGGGATAATCAACATGTTTTTTATACGAGAAACCACTTCTTTGCGTGAGGTGAGCTGTATATCAGGGATTAGCACTTTTTGTTAATTATAATAATAAAAGGTAAGGGTCTGAAAATGTTTGAGTTGAGGTATGGCACATCACAGGAATAGAGTTTTTGTCACTTGAGGCTAAGTGCTGAATGGGGAGTAAGTTGCATTGCACTGCTCTTGTCACAGAGCATATAGAGCTGCTTTGTGTTTGGCAGTGTTAGGAAGGGGTTACTTAACCACTGCCTTTGTTGAATTTGGATATAACACTAAACTAAAGAGTTCTTAAACAGAACTATTTGGAAAAAATAGGTCTTTGACCAGCAATGGTAGTTGGGATCATTTGAACTCAAACCTGAGATTAAGTTAAAAAAAAATAAAAATCCATTCTTCTCTTATTTAGCAAGTTCAATGATGAACTTTCACAGTGTATTAGGATTTTAGAATTTTTTTGTTAATACAAGGTTTCCCATATCATATAACTATTATACTGATATTTAATATTATTAGAAATACATTCTGTGTATTCTCAGTAACATAGTTCTGTGTTATGAATGTCTAAAAAGCATGATGTAGAGTATGTAACCACACAAGCAGCTTAGAGGATGTAGCTAATGATACTCAGACAATGATCTCCAGTCTGGATCTGATCAATAGATACTCCTCTGAGCATGCAAAAATCCAAGACATGCTCCTTATCATTTTCATATCCTTTTGGGAAGTAATTGCATCCTTCTGCTACAATTTCTGGCCACAGAAATAGAATGTACCTTTTGCCTGGTTTGTCAGTGCTGAAGAGTATTCTGTTTCTTGCTAATTAAACAGTGGTGAAATTACATAGCAGATGGTAGTAAAAGTGGTTAGCCTTCATAAAAATGAGTTGCGAGCTTTCTAGAGAAACTTCGATCAGGCAAGCATTTTGTTTTCAACTTGCAAGTTACAGCCCCTTTTAACTTGAGAAATCTATGTGAAAAGGACAGCATTTTCAAAATGGTGGCATGACCAGGGAAGTGGTTACATGACATTTCTCTACTAACTGCAGCTTCTGTAGATATCTATTGAATAGCTGATAAGGGAGCCTTGGTAACTGTGATATAACAGATCTTGGCAAAAGTAGGTTGCTCAAGTGTTTGATTCAACCCCTTCATGAAGTTGGGATGGTTGTGCAGTTTCTGTAATACCATCAGTGTGCTATTTCCAGCACCCAGGGCACCTAATTTAAATCTATTTCAGCTACATAGGCTTAGTCACAAACCAGTTTTAATACTAGTTGTGCAGTATTGCCCTGAGGCTGTCACAGAGTCAAACCAGAGTGGTCATCACATCCAACTCGAACAATGTGTTTCAGATTCTACAGAAAAATAATCAGCAGCATTTGTGTTTGTATTGCTTTATATTTTGCTTATGGTAAATTACAGAATATTGAAGCATATGAATGCTTTCACAAGCTGATGTATATGCCAGATGCTGTACTTCAAAAATTAATGATAATTGAAATCCAATTTATCCATTGCTCTTAGGTTTTGCTGTTTACAGGTGGATATTTATAATCTTGTTATCTGTTGTCATCAAATTTTGTATTAGGTTTATAATATTACAGATCTTTTTTTCCCATCAGTTGCTGTAACTATTAAAACACTTAGACAAAATCAAAATTTAATGAGGAACGATGCACTTAAGTTTTGATTTCTGGTGGCAGTTGACTTCATTCGTGCTTTATGCTTGGATTGGTGAAATTATGCTTGCCTTTTGTTTGTTAGTTTTTATCTGCAAGATATGTTTCCATATATCTTTATGAGCCTGTTCAGGGTAGGTTATACTTTTTGCAGTAGGTATGAGGGCAGTCTGTATTGGTGGAAGTTCAGCTTAGTTACCCTATTCTACCTGCCTTTTCTGTTTTCTCCAGTAGCGCACACACATGTGGAAAGCCTAATGGTCTTGTCTTTCATTTTTATTTTGACATGTTAGAGATATTTTTGAACCAATATTGAGCTCTGTTTCATCAGTTTCTTTCCTTAGTTTTATTTTTCCTGTGGATTTTTTTTTTGGTTGGTTGCCTGGTTTTTGTGTGTTGCATTCCTCCCCCAATGTAGTTTCTCCCCTTCTTTCATAACGATTGTCTAGAAGAAAAAGTACTACATTGTTTTCCTTCTCCTTTCACAGCAATTTAAATTATTCAGCTTGGCACCAAAGAAGTAAAAATTCCCCACAAGCACTATCACGTCAAAAAACTTCACTAAATGAGATGGCCAGAAGTTCTTTTGGGCTTCAAGGGAAAAAAAAAAGCTTGAATAGCTTGCTTGTCAAGTCTCTGCTCTGTCCCTTGCTTACTTTGTATTTTGAGGAATCATTTCTTTAGTGAATGTTGAGACCAAATGACATCATTAGCATACATGAAGTTGCAGTGACCAAAGGTCATGGCCGCTCTTTATCAGTAATTTCCAAGAAGTCTAATTCTCTTTTAATCCTCAGTAGAAATTACTCTCTATCTGCTTCCCAGTTATCAAAAAAAATCGGTAGTATCCTTTGTGATGAAAGAAAAAAGTCATTATTCAACTGTCATTAGAATATTAAGTGTTCCTGCAGAGGTGCAGGAATGTCAGAAAAGTATGAATATGTGTAATATACTGACTGAAAAGAATACCAATCACAAATTAATAACCTACTTGTGATTCTTTTCCTCAAACAGTAAGTTCCATTGGTCTGATTTTTAACTGTGACCTATTAATCAGTGAATAGCTTTTAAGTTCTGCACAATATACCATTTAGGATTTACTGAAATATTAATCTGATAAAAATGTAAGAAAAGTATTCAGAATTTTGTAGCTATACCTAATGTAAAATGTAATATTTTTTTCTGTTTTAGGAGGGCGGTGTCAGTGGTTTTCTCCATGCATTTATTGCTGAAGTGTTTGCAATGGTGAGAGCTCATGTTGCAGCTTTAGGGGGGAATGCAGTTGTCTCATACATAATGAAACAGTGTGTTTTCATGGAAAATCCAAACAAAAATCAGGTAAATTATGATACGAAATAACAGTGCTATTGTGATTAGTATGCCACAAATATACATTTTTATATATTTAAAAACCAGCAACTGTGTACAGCCACGTCTGTGTAACACTTCTGCATGTCTCATCATAATGTTTGTTTAAAGTAGCCAAGAGCATTCTTAAACACCTGAGTCTAAGTTCACTAGAATGAAGTAAATTGCAGGAAACAGTTGAACAGTAGTGCTGAACTACTTGGTAGCTTTTCTGATGTTGCAATGTTAAGATTTTCATCCTAACTCCATGTAAAAATACCTGGACTTGCAGATATAGAATGCTTCATTTTGGGCATAAAGGGACAAAACTTTATTAGTAAAGAACTTGCAGATATAGAATGCTTCATTTTGGACATAAAGGGAGAAAACTTTATTAGTAAAAACGTAAATGGAATTATAGTTGGTTTGGTACATGAAATGCGTTCAAAACAGTAGAGAAAGCAAGTACAGCTACCCAGGTATTTAATTTGTTGGTGCTCTTATGAGAATCTGTCCACATGTTTGATGGCACACAAGTGAATGGATATAAAAGGAAATATGGCAGAGATTGCCTCACTAATAAATTCTAATAATTTGTCTTTCTCTGATCTCTGTTGACTTTTCTATTTGTGTAGAAGTATCTAGCAGATAAACATAAAATATATTATTACTTAATGTTCGGTAACTGCATATTGTCTTTTTTGGTTTTCAGGCTCAGTGTTTAATAAATGTCAGTGGTGATGCAGTCATCTTTGTACGTGAATCTGAGTTGGAAATGTTACCAGTACAACCTTCTACGGCTGTTTCTCAGCCCACAAGTTCTGGAGGAGATGTCACAACGTGAAGACAGAAAAAGTGAAATAGTCTCTGCCAAATATAAATACTATCGAAAATGTGGGAATGTTTAGGTTTGCATCTTCAAAATCAGTCTCTCTCCATAACGTTAATAGCCAAAATCCAAGACAATCACAATACTTTGTCCTTAAACTTTAAGTAACAGTCAGGGCAGCATTATTGGCAGGTATGCTCCGATGCTTTTGTTTTAATTACAGGCCCCTGTGAAACTAGACAGTAGGTGAAGCACTGTTATGAGAGTACGGACTAAAATAGTAGGCATCACGTGGAACTGTGAAAGGAAGCAAAAATTCTGTTGCATTTTTCAGCTGTTCAACAGGACCGTGATAAGTTGTAATTCAGAACAATTTCTGAGTTTGCATATTGTATGAGCTGATTCTCAGCTCAGTTTGTAAAATAAGAGGGGTAGGGGTGGGTGGGAGATAACTGAGAAACCTGTGTTAGCAGCCTTTTCTGAAGGAGCAAGAGATTTGTGCGCAGGCTAAGAAAATGTGGGCTGCAGTCTGAACTTATCTTAGATCATAGAGTGTGAAGAGGAAGAGGAAGCACCAGAAAGTCGCAGTTTGAATTTCTGCACACTAAAAATATTTTTCAAATGTTTGTGAACTGCTGATTTATGTTTTTAAAATTATTACTATACAGCATATGTTTTGGGTGGGTGTTTCAGGGATTTTTTTTATTTGTTTTTAAAAAGGTGCCAGACCATGATGCTGTGTTCCTAGTCATCCCAATGGTTTTTTTTTAAAAAAAAAAGTTATGAAGTGTGTTTGATGCTATTATAAGATGTTTACTTTATTATTTTAATATAAGGTTCTGTGAAAGAGTTGTCCTGAGGCTCATTTTCTTAAGGAATGATCTCTTGCCAAGATTACATACACAGACCTCCAAAAGTCAGTTATACAGAGGCGTACTCCAGCCTCCTTTCCATTTAATGAGTTGGAAATGCCTGGCTAAGTAGAGGTTCCTGTATATTTGTGATGCTGATTTTTGCAAGTTGGTTTTGGTGTAGTGGTTTCTTTTTCTTCCCAGTACAGTAGCTGGGAAATGAGGGTACTGCAAAGAAAGGAAATTTGTCATTTCCAGTAAATGTCTGAAAGGCAGTGATATTTTATTGTAAAAAATGCAAACTTTGATCTGAAGATGCATTCTTACTTAATTCTGACAATACCGTACATGGAACTTGAACAAACATGTAAACTTGAATGTAAATATTCTGCTTAGTGTTGAAATTAAGCAATGGCATGATTATTTGTTAAAACTAATTATTTCATTGTAAATGAGCATGAAAATCATTCTTGCACAATAAATTTCTGTATAAAAATTTATGCCTTTTTATATGTGTAATAGTTAAATGTGTACACTGGATACATATTAAAGATGTCCCATCCCCATTCTCCTCTGAGCAGCATTTTTTGTATGGAATGTCACAACCTGGTTATTTAAAATTTGGAGAGTTAATTATCTTTATATTTAAAGTGTTTGAATTGGGTGCTTACCAGAACACTTTACTCATACAGTTAATTGTCCTTCTAAATTCTGTGCCTGTTGCAACCAAAGCTTCCATAAATTAAGTCGCCTGTGAATAGTTGCAGCTCTCTTGATTATTTTGCAAGGCAAATCTTGTTCCCTTTGAAGCTGATGGCAGAATATTAGTAACTCCAGAAAGTCTTGGATCTGGCACAAGAAGTTGTTTTCAGCGTGTATTCACATGGAAAAATATTCTCTGAAGTAGCACATTAAAGTAGCTGTTCTTGATGGTGTGGTTTGGTTTTCTTTTTTTTTTGGTAGCTTCTATGGAAGTATTAATGCTATCTTTTAATTTCTAGCTGTTTAAACGGTCACAATTTCTTCTACTGTGTTTCATTAGACATCGAAGAGAAGCTTTCTCATCTAGAAATTTTAATTCTTCTCTAATTATTATTCCAGAAATGACATACATGGTTTTTTAACTGTTACTAATTGGGATTTAGATTTTCTTAATTGGTCCAGCTGGATAAATTTAACCTGTAGGAAGCTGTACACTTAAATTGCTTTGTTGTTTTTTTTTTTTCTTCTTTCCATTGTAAAACAAAAGGGATGTGTGTGCAAATCCATTTTCATTTGGAACATCATACCTCATACATTTTTCAGAGGCAAAACTGAGTCATAAACATAAGACAAACTTAAGGAAATTGTTGTAAGGAAAGTTAAAAATTTAAATCAGTGCACAGAACACCTTCGAGGAGCAGTGTGCCTACAACTCAAGTTGATTTATGTTCCTTGCTGGGTTCAGAATGGCTGAAAACCATACAAAGGTACCTTGTTACTTAATGACTTTTACCCCTTGAGTCATGACATAGTAACATACAGTTTTGACTGTGGGAGAATTATTTTCTGCTGAAATGGGAGCAGTTAAGGCAAGACACTCTGCTCTTCTCTCGCATGGCACTTCCAAATGCGGGGAGACAAAGAGTACTGTTTGAGATACTTGTGGCTCAAACAAACACTGCTTCGTCAGGAATTTACTCTCGGAATAGCTGTTTGGGGATGGGAGCTAGCGCAACTTGCTTGCGCTGGTTTTGACTGGGACAGAGTTGATTTTCTTCAAAGCAGCCGGTACGGTGCTGTGTTTTGGATTTGTGACCAAAACAACCTTGTTAACACAGGGATGTTTTATCTGTTGCTGTGATCTGAGTAACAGTTTTTTTGGCAAGCGTGTAATGAACAACTGTGCTGCTACAGCATCTGCGGATCTTCCATTGAGCCTTGGGCTGTGTGGTAAGAAAACTTTTCTTGCCATGCAGTATTTGTAGTTTTTGTAGATGGGAGAAAGCTTGGTTTTGACTAACCTACAAAGCAGAAACGAAGCAAAAAAGGATGAAGTGACTTGCCCTGTCTGCAGAAGAGTGTGCTGTGGGAGGCGGCAAAACTACAGGATGAGGTTGTAAGGCTGTAATAGCACAGGAATGTATGTAAAATTATGGAGGCTCTTAACATGTTTTAAAAGGCTTTAAGGACTTTGCTTAAAAGTATTGGTTCATGATGAATTAGAACTTAAAGCTTGCTTAACAATGACCTTTTATCTGATTGGAGGAATAAGAAAGCTTGGAAAACCCCAGAACCAGTTTGAGCCAGCAAAAGGAGACATAATAAACCGTTGGCCTAAACCACAACTCCAGAAACAGGAAAAAGAAGAACCCGCCTAGAGACAATGAGAGGACCCAGTGAGAAACCAGAAGACCCTAGACCTGAATATTTTTATTGGACTGGACTGTTGCATGAGGGGTGGGAACTTCAATTGTAGGGGTATAATTGCCCAGGGATTTTGGTGTTTAGAGTCCCTCTCTGGAGGCACACAGCTCGAGCTGGCTGAATTTGTGCACCATAGAATAAATTAGGCTTTTATTTTGAAAGCCTTGATTAGTTATTGAGAAAGGGAGCCTGGGTATGAAATTTCTTTAACAAGTGCCAGGCCCTGGGAGCACCAATAGGTCTTACAGTTGCTGCCTGGCCTCATCTCACCCTGCCTACTGCCCAGGACCCCACTTTAGCCACCAAGTCTGCCAGCCCCTGCCCCAGCGATGTCACAGCAGGGCTGGTCTGCAGTCCCCCACAGCCCTGCCCGGCCATGGGTGCTGCTGAGCTGGGGCTGCCCCCGGTGCCCCCCGGCTGCCCAGCTCCCTGCCCAGCTCTGCTCCCTGCCCTGCCGCCCAGGGGAGCCCCTGTCGCTTCTGGGGGCTTGGGGAGCAGCATGATGCAGGGGTCAGAACTGGTTTTCAAGATGTAGGCTGACACGGTAGCTTAAATAAAGAAGCATCATTAATTTTAAAACTTGTGTAACTTACATTAGTTGTGACAAGTCTGACATGGTGAAGGATTTTGAAGCAGGAAAGGACTCTGTTTCTGGGGCTCTTTCTTCCACACGCAGGCTAGCTTTCTTCACAGGGTTTTGAGCACTCGGCTGTAAAAACCCCGCCTGGTAGGAGAACAGGCTGGGCTGCTGCTCTTACTCGTTACAAAGGACCCCATCAGGTAACACTTTTCATTGGTATACCTCAAGCATTTCACAAAATCGGTTGGTGTGATTTCTCCCCATTACAGTGGAAGCAGCTGAGACAGACGTGTGAAGCAATGTGCCAAAGTCGTGCTGGGAGCTGGTAGGAGAAGCAGGTCTCGCTCCAGGTGTCAAAATGCTTGTGAGTATGGTGTGGCAAACAAGAAGGGGCTGAAGGTAGATCTGTGTGGTGATGGGTCTGTTGTCATTGTACCTACAGGATGAATGCAATGCCTGAAAAATGGACCTTAGTCTGCACCAGTATAGCTGGGTTTAATGAATTTAGATAAGAATTTACTGTGTGTATCAGTCAATGGGCAAATTGCCGAGTAGAAGCTGGATTTTGAAATTGTTGATTTCATTTTTGGAAACAGGAGTCACATTTCAATTGACTTGCAGGTTTTAACCATAAACATGCACATTCACAATAAATGATGCACATTTATTTTTGTTGCAAAATCATTTCTATTAATGTGCACAGAAATATCTCCTTAAATTGTAGGGACCATAGAGCTAGGGTGATTCCAATTTTGGTTTTATTTTCTCGAAATCGGATGTCTGTAACACTTCAGTCAAGGAGAATATTTGCCTGGAAACCTTGTGAGATTTTGGAAACATCAGAGTAATTGCAACCTTGTGAATGGAATATCCAGCCCCGAAGAGCTCTTGAATTTTGAGGGAGTGCAACTGAGCCGTGTAAGCTTTGAGGAGATGTCATTATGTCTTGGCATATACTCTAAAAGCCAGAGGAGTAAGTGAAAGCACTTGCAGACAGCAACCCTTCCTCTTCCTGCCTCCCTTCTCTGCCCAGGCTATCTGTGCCCTCTCTGTAGCCGTGTGGCACCTCCCCTTCCTGGGATCCTGACCCTGGATGCTGCTTCCCTCTTCCTTCTCTCCCTGACCCGTCTCTGGAGGGTTTGGTTAACCACAGGTCAGCAACAACTCATGCACTTACC